AAGCTCATTTAAGTAAAGCAGGTACAGATGCAAGCAATAACAGCCACTGTTTGTGTTGGTTTTATCCACATAATTTCAAATGGGTGCTTGCTTACCCCTTTATTGGAGAGAGGAAAGGATTAATGAAAACAATATTGTAACGAGCAGTTCATCAAAACACACAAACACACACACACACACACACACACAAACATATATGTGCTTTATCTTTCAAAACAGCACCATCTTCTGGCACATCTGTTTCCAAACCAAAGTCAGAAAGCATAATTGTCTTGTTTTCAGCATTACATTCTGTTTGATTAGGAATAAATGCTGCCTACAAAGCACATATGGGAAGGTCTATGAACACATCTGCTTCCAACGTTAAGACAGCTTCTGTGGCAATTTTTCCAGCAAAAGGAAGCTGTGGCTTTGTGCCCCCCTGCCCAACTCTTGCAATTCCAGTCCAATGCTAACGTTTAAATATGGAGGGGGGGCAGACAGAATTTGGAACAACAATAAAATTGCTCTGATTGAGAGGAGGGGAGGGAAAAGTGTTTTATTAGTCCTCTTAAGAAACAGTAGAAGCCATCTGCTCCTCATTTCTCCTCATTTTTCATGAAACACTATGGGCAAGTGAGTTTTTCTGCTCCCAAATGCAACAACAAAATCTGTATCTGATGACAAAGCATGGATTGTAAAATTTTTAAATCTGTATTAACTAACCCCTTCAACTCTCTCTCTTCGCTGCTGAAAGCCACTATAGCATTCCCCACCACACACATACATGCACACACACAACTTGTCCCACAGCATCTCCACAGAGAACATACAGTTTGAAGACTGTTCCTTCTTGTCTAAACATCAGGCTTGGTTTTCCTAGAGATGTGAAGACCCAGGAGGGGGGACTCAGAAAAAAATTATTTCCCTAACAATACTGAACAAAACTGCTATGAAATATTTTCATTTAGAATTAGTTATTTTCCCTAGTAATTAGTTATTTACTTTTACAGTTTTCTTTCCCTATTAATTAGTTGCTTTCTTATTAGTAAAAATGCATCACAGTTCAAAGTTTTTCACACTCAAAATGTATAACATGAAAAAGTCTGAGGCCATCCCCTCACCTATCAAGCACCTGCTCTTCCAATATGAATTAGGCTTAGATTCAACTTTACCCGTTAAATGTTGCTTAGATGTTGTCAAATATACAGAATCCAAAAACACAGCCACTTCTGTAAATCAGACAACATCCACATTAGGAATAATAAGCATATTTAGACCAATCAGCATTCCAGCTCTGCATTTCTGGATCATATAAGTAACCCTCTCTAACTGGCCTTTTCCAGTAAAAGTTAATAGTGTCAATTCACTCTCACCACAGAAAAAAGAAACCTGAGAATCAGGATAAGACGTTGCTATTTCAAAAGACATTTGGAAAACAGTTCCTAATTTAAACTGAAGTCTACCAATGCCAAAATTCAATTGTTTGAATGCTGCAGTATCTTAGTTGACATTTGACACTGCTGCTTATTTTCAGTTGTTTTATTTTTATGTACATTCTAGTATTTTTTTACTGTTTCACCACTAATTTTTTTAAATTTTTATTCAATTTTAACACCACTAATTTTTAAAATTTCTGTAAGATTCCTTGGGCGCTGTTTACCTAGTGGAAAGGTAGCATACAGGAATTCTAAATAAACAGAAGTGTAAAGCTTAACAGAAAAATCTGAATAGTTGTCAACTAAGGCACACTTTCCAAAACAATTGCTTGGTATTCATTAGAGAACTTCAGACTATTTACTTTACAGGATTGTGTAATTGGGACATGTACTGGAAATTTTGCAGGAAACATATCATTTCTTTGTATAATAAATGAATGATTGTTTGTTACTTAGAAAAACTTCTAAAGAAATCCTTGCCTATATGGCTGAACGATGAAAATACAGAATAATTTGATAAAGAACACAGTGGAATGCTGAAGCTGACATATATCACACCAGCACACTGAACAATAATTCTCAAAACTCTACTTCAAGAAGCAATGGAATAATACCACACAAGGTTATTCACTGGTGTCACTGAACATCCTTTTATTTGTTTACAAAAGATTTACAGTGCAATCCTAAGAACGCTTTCCCAGGTTAAATCCACTGAATAGGCCTGAGTAGGATCCTGTGTAGACTATAGGGGTGTGTGCGCACTATAAAACTAGCCAAAAAAATACCTGAAATATTTAACCAGTATTTATTGGGTATTTTCTCAGTCAATCACTGAGGGGGCTAGTGATTTGGCTATCTGAAAATGGCTGTCCCGAAAAATCCCAAAAATATTCGGGATTTTTTCGGGGCCACCAGATAGCTACAGTTACAGGGCATTTAAAAGGCTCTCAGTTCTTTTTAAAGCCTTCAGAGTGAAGTCTCAGGCATTTAAAGGGACTGCAGTCTTTAAATGCCTTCAGAGTTCACTTGCTGTGGCATGGAGTTGTGACACAGCTTAGAAAAGGCATTTAAAGGGATCACATCCCTCTATATGCCATTCCCCCCCTCCATTGGAAACAATAAAGGATGGGGGCACCTTTTTTGGGGGGTCTGTAAAATTGGACTCCCTGGTTCAATCTGTTTGAATCTTGGGAGGATTTTGCGTAGAGACACCAGCAGTTATGCTGCAAATTTGGTGCCTCAACCTCAAAAAGCAGGCCCCCCAGAGCCCCAGATACCCCCAGATTGATTCTCCACTATAGCCTATAGGGACCATTGACTATAATCATCCCCACAGGGTATAATGAAGCCAAAAAATTCCACAATCTGGAATATTTCCTGACTCCCAATACTAGGCCGGAATGGGCGGGATAGAAATCAATAAAATCAATCAATCAATAAATAAATATACCAATTTTTTATTTGTGCATACCCCTAGTAGACTACTTAGGACTCTTCTCTCCACCTTATGATTGTTTTCTCCATCACAATGCCTATGTTGTGGCTCATTTTTGGCATGGTGGATCACATTAAGGAATATTTTAAGGATCAGTAATGGGTTGGATTCAAAGCGTTTCCACTGGCAGATTTGTAGTTCCACCAGTGAAGGGGGGATATGATTCAGGTCCTGCCCTCACTGAAGATCCCCACATTGCATCCAGTGCTGTTCCAGGTTCCCCTCACCACTGGGAGCAGCATTTCAGAGGATTCAGTGCTGCACCAAGAATGAAGAGAATGCAAAAAAATTCAAATAAAATTAAGGCACATGAGCCCTTGAACTCAAAACACTTTCTACCAGCAACAATTTAGTCTTGTGTGAGGCAAAGCATCCTGTTTCCTCTCACGGGTTAATGTGGATATTAGTGGACCTACTATAGCTTGCAGGTGACCAAAATTGGGCCTCTCTGCCTATAACACCCTTACCTCTTTTAAGGCAGAGTCAGAATGTCCTAATTAGCTCTTCTTGGGAGCCTATGGTCCCCTGGATGGGAGGGGAAAGCAGGAGTTGTGTCATGATCTTCTAGAAGGTTCCAGCGAGTATGTGCCCTGATGGGATTTGGAACATCACCTGATATCGGATGGCATGAGATTATAATTGAGCCACAGACCAGAGAGAAGTCAGGCTAACTTTGTGATTTTTGCACAATAGAGGCTTAGACTGTTATTGCAATGAACAGCTATGTAGAAGGTCTCTGCCTTGGACTCTGAAACTTTAAGATTGTGCCATCTAATAACAGGTACCAATGTACTAGAAAAGTTAGCCTTCTTGTTTTTATGCTGCAAGGCTACACAGACTGTGTTGTCTAGTATTAAATTTGTTTTTTTAAATATTTAATAAACTTTCTCTATTTTACTAAGTCTGTTTTATTATGTGCATACAGCCTTCAGGACCCACATCCCTGAGCGCTGCCTACTTGCCCAAGGGTTAATGTTTTTTGGGTGGAGGTTTCGGCTTGATATCTTGTCATAGCTATCTATAAACATATAGCAAGATGTCTTAGTGCTATGCCATCATATCTTAATTACAGCTACTTGCATAGAAAAATAAATGAGATAAATCAGTTACACGCTTCTGCAAGCAGCTACATAGAACAAGAGATGATTAATTTCACCCCAGTGCACATGTGGTACTGAACATACTAGCTGCAGTTGCACAAGACAAACAGCATGTAGTAAACAGCTTTAAACAACAGGTGTTGCAGTGTACCAACAGGACAATAAACCTTGCAACACAATGATAGAACGAGATCATGAATGAAGGGTACAATCAAATCCTTGTAGACTTGGGGGAGTGATGTTCACAGATTCCCCCAGTCTCACCTCAGGAGCCAAAATAGCCATAGAACAAAACCATACACAATTTTTACAAAGATAATTCCAAGTCCTTTTTTTTGGGTGTTTTTTGCAAAAGCCATTTTAGGTCCAGATTCATCCCTACCCTTCTCTTTGTTTGTTGTATATATGACACTGTTGCATTGTTTCTCTAATTTTGTAAGCCAGATTTGTGTTATTGTCGGCTGTATTATTATACTGTTTATACTATTTTCAGTGCAATAAACTCTAATTTTCTAATCCTATTTTATTGCCTTGTTGAATGTATGCATTATATTGCTCTTTGCATTGTTTTAATTGGGGAGGGGGTCGTGGCTTTGTGGTGGAGAATCAGCTTGGCACGCAGAAGGTCCCAGGTTCTATCCCCAGCATTTCCAAGTAAAAGGACCAAGCAACAGGTGATGTGAAAGACCTCTACCTGAGACCTTGGAGAGCCCCTGCCAGCCAGAGCAGGCAGTAATGACCTTGATGGACTCAAATTTTGATTCAGTAGAAGGCAGAGCCAAATGTGCATGAATACCTGTGTAATCCACTTTGAGTGCAATGACAAAGGCAGACAAAAAGTGAAATAAATAAATAATCTCTGTCCTTCTTTAGGTTTTCTCCCTTCCAGTTTCTCTTTAATTACATATATCTTGGACTCATTCCCTGTTTCTTAGAATAGGCCCAGCCAAAAGAATACACCCTTTAATGGGGGTGAGGGGGGCTTACCTGGGATAACTAAAAATAAGAGTCTTGGAACACTTTCCTTTTCGAAGAGATTTTTCCAAGGGCCACATTTTATGATCTGAGTAGCTGCTCCACAAATGCTGGTGAACTCTTCATGTACTGGGATCTCTTCTTCCAGTGCTGGTTTATTACCTGCTGCTAAAGAAAGGGAGAAAGTTTTTTGTTTTTTTGTTTTTAAACAGCCAACCATTTATGCATAATTACAGCACATGCCTTCATGTAACCAAATAAATTCCTCTCCTGTTTGGCTAGGAAAGACAATTTAGTTATCAGTGAATTATTGTGCTTGTCTATTTGACTCATCCTTGGAAAGCTCAGACTGGCTTGCCTGGAGCCTCCAGTGCCCCCAACGCAGACATGAACCAGTGGGTCCTTGCTTAGGTTCAGTGCTGCTGGTGGTGGAAAGTGCTGTCAAGCCACTTCTGACTTATGAGGACTCTGTAGGCTTTCCAAGGCAAGAGGCATTCAGAGGTGGTTTTGCCACTGTCTGCCTCTGCCTAATGCCCCTGGACTTCCTTGGTGGTCTCCCAACCAAATACTAACTAGAGCTGATCCCACTTAGCTTCCAAGATCTGGTGTAGGCTTGCCAGGTCTGGGTTGGAAAATACCTGGAGACTTTGGGGGTGGGTCCAGGAGAGGGAGGAGTTTGGGGAGGGGGGGCCTCAGCATGGTACAATGCCATAGAGTCCACCCTTCAAAGCAGCCATTTTCTCCAGGGGAGCTGATCTGTGTCGGCTGGAGATCCGTTGGAAAAGCGTAGGGTTGCCAGGTCTGGGCTAGAAAATACCTGGAGACTTTGGGGGTGGATCCAGGACAGTGTGGGGTTTGGGGAGGGGAGGGGCCTCCGTTTGGTACAATGCCATAGAGTCCACCCTTCAAAACAGACATTTTCTCCAGGGGAGCTGATCTCTGTCAGCTGGACATCATTTGGAAATCGGGAGTTCTCCAGGCCCCACCTGGAGGCTGGCAACCCTAATCTGATGAAATCAAGCTGGTGTGGGCCATCCATTTTATTTATTTATTCATTTATTTCCATTTTTATACCACCCCTTCCCTGGCAATCAGGGATTGAGGTGATTAACAATATACCCTTTTACTGACAGAGCCAGTTAGAAGCCCCCCCACACTAGGGCTTATACCACAAATGCATAGAAATCCTACTAGGGCTTATTTTTTGGGTAGGTCTTATTTTCGGGAAAACAGGGTATGTAGGAAAAGCTGTTGGGGGAGAGTGAGCTTCCTGTTGGTGGAAATAAGTATCCGCACAACCCGTCCCCTGTTAGAATTAGATATATAGATAAAAGAAAGTCCCCTCACCGTAAAATCAACGCCCAGGCCAAACCGCTGGATCTAGAGACACCAAATTTGGGGAGAGAGCTCCTACCGTGGTGTAGGTGCTCGCTAAGAAGGGATTTTTAGAAATTCGACCCCTGTGGGTCAAAAGGGGAGAAATGTGCTCCCCCCATTGATTCCTATGCAGCTGCCAGGCAGCTGCCTCTCTGTACCCCCCTCTCTGATTGGTCAGCTGCAGAGCTCAGGGTTCTGAGGTAAAAAAACCCAACAGTTACAGGGGACTGCAGACAGCTAATAACAGTTGAGGAAATCAAGAGTAGTCAAGAACCACCTGTGAAGTGAAGCAAAGCTGCTGGCCCAGCCTCTCTGATGGCTTCCAACACACTCCCCCCACCTCCTACACCTAACAGGCAGTTGTCTGTCAGGTGCAGCCCCAACTCCACAGTGGCTTCTAATACTACTCCCCCCTCCCCCTCCTACACTGGACGGACAGCTACCTATCAGGTGTAGGAGAGGAGGTGGGATGGCTTCCAACACACTCCCCCCACCTCCTACACCTAATAGGCGGTTGTCTGTCAGGTGCAGCAGCGGTTGCAGGATGCTTAAAGCCACGAGGGAGCCTGCCCCAGCAGTAACGCCTTAGTGATCCTGCCAGCCCTGCCTCCACAGTGGCTTCTAATCCTCCTCCCCCCTCCCCGTCCTGCACTGGACAGGCAGCTGCCTGTCAGGTGTAGGAGAGGAGGTGGGATGCTTACAGCTGCCAGGGAGGATTGCTCAGCAGGATTGCCTTAGCACTGCTGCTGGCCCAGCCTCCCCGATGCCTTTAAATACAATCCCCCCAACACCAGACAGGCTGGTGTCTGTCAGGTGTAGGAGCGGGGCCAGAGTATGAATGTTTATGGGGAGATAGTAAAGGACATTTCTAGGAGCCATTTCAATGCCTGCCTCCCTCATGAACCTGGAGAAATGTCCACCATATCACCACTCCCTCACACCAACTCCCCCTCACACCTCTCACCTCTTAATGCCCCCGAGAAATCTCCTGGCAAATGTCGAGCCAGATATAC